AAGAAATCGCACCCAAATACTAAAAATAATTGCGACAGAAGGCACATAAGAGAAATCCTTAGGAATGACATAGACTTGGCTCTCCTGCATTACAATCCCCTGAGGAGCATTTTTAAAATAGAAAGTCATGGGTCCCACCTTCTGAGGGAGACAGAATGTGGCTACGTAGAGGAGGGCATGTTCCGTCTGGGGGAAAGCTGTTAAATCAGCACCTGGGTAGGCTTATGTGGGGAAAGTCAGGGGTGAGATCTCCAGGCTAGCATGGAGGAGGGGTGTGGGGCTGAGTTGAAATTACACTGCCAAGTGTTCCTTTTTACCAGCACTCCTGAGGTCACCCTTCTTTCTGTGACATCCGTGGAGAGCCTCTATGAATTTGTTCTATTGCCCTTCCTCTGCTCACCTAGGTATCCAAGTGAGAGGTCAGACAGCACACGTGTGTGGCAGGGGCAGCTGCTGAACTTCTTGCTCTATCTGTGAGAGGGAAGGAAGCCCAGTCTGGCTGTAGCAGTTACATAATCTCCTGTCAACTTTGGGAAGGGGTGGAGTTTAACCTGTCAATCAGGTCACAGCTTGATGACCTCATTTGGAGACGCCACAGAGATAAAGAGCTCACCGGAGGCTAGATACACTGACACTCTCTGCTATACATTCCTGTTGACAAGCCTTATGGAGCTGCGCTGGTAGAGACACAGTCCTAGGGCTGGAGGAGCCGCAGGGAGACCCACACCAACGCTGAGATGCTTCCACCGCCACTGGATCCCCAAGACTTTCCACCCACTGGCCTGTGATCTTTCTTCCTGCATTCAGTGTCATTGCATGTGCTGCATGAGTCTCAAGATGAATTTATAGATTGGTAACAGACATAGAGGCTAATATCGGACGTATGGACTTGACCTGGACTGGGCTTGGATGTTTTCTTAATGTACAGTTGCTCTTTGATATGAGTGTCTACGAATTTGTTCACTAGTCGACCTGGACTAATAATATAGTGGCCTTGCCTGGCTCACTTTCAAACTCTGTGAGCAGAACTGTGCTCTTTTCCCTTGGGGGGTACTGGGTGCATTGTTGGATGCATTAGCGTATTTATCCCTATTCCTGCTAAGCCTGCGACCTCGTGTCGCCACTCTGTTGATGTTCTGCCACAGATTCAGCATGCAATCCAGTCACCAGCTGTGGTTATTCATTTATCCTTTCTACTAATTCAGAACACCTTTTAGATATCTAGCCATCTTTGTCCTAAGTTAGTATTATTACTTTACATGTGAGCTGTTCCATATATTTTTTTTAATACAGTTAGGTTCTCAACAATATGTTTCTATTAGGTGGGCAGTATAGGACATCTGGACACCATTTAAAATATATATATAAATCATTTTATGAGGGGCTCTTACAGTTCTTATAACAATCCATATATCAATTGTATCAAGCACATTTGTACATATGTTGCCATCATCATTTTCAAAACTTTTCTTTCTACTTGAGTCCTTGGTATCAGCTCCTTTTTTCCCTTCTTTCCCCACCCTCCCACTCTTGTGACTCCTTGACAAATTATAAATTATTATTATTTCATATCTTACACCGTCTGCTGTCTCCCTTCACTCACATTTCTGTTGTTTGTTATATGGGTTATATGTCGATCCTTGCGATCTGTTCCCCCTTCTCCCACCACTTTTGCCCTACCCTCATGGTATCACTACTCCCATTGCTGTTCCTGAGGGGTTCATCTGTCCTGGATTCCTTCCGTGTGTAGAGATCTTATCTGTACCAGTGTATATGCTCCAGTCTAGCTGGATTTGTAAGGTAGAACTGGGGTCATGATAGTGGGGCGGAGGAAGCATTAAATAAATAGAGGAATGTTGTGTGTTTCGTCAGTGCTATATTGCATCCTGGCTGACTCTTCCCTTCCTTGTGACCCTTCTGTGAGGAGATGTCTGGACACCATTTGGAAGGCGGAATCTGAGGCTTAGACACTTCCATTGGCTTGCCCAGAGTTCCATATCTAGTTAGGGGGTCTTCAGATTTCTGGGTTCTGGAACATGCACCGATTACTACGGGTGTCATTTGAGATGGTTGATGCTCAGCAGCACTGTTCATGTTTAAATTCATATTCAAACCTTTATTGTATAACCTTTTGTCTTTTAGACGGCCTTCCCCTTTATGAAGTTATATAATTGTGTTCATCACTTTATATACCTTTCCCCAAAGCTCCCTAGTTCAGCTTGGAAGCATGTCATGTCTTTAATTTTAATGATCCTTTGAAGCCAAGCATGAACTCCTTTTCCAGGTGGGCATACTCCCACAAATGGCATCTGGCTGAGCTACGTCGGAGAAACTCTCCTTTCACTTCCGAACATTTTTGTTTGTGTCCTCTTTTGTACTGTACAGAGACGAGCTTCTCTGGGGTATAGAAGGGTAGTGCGAGGGAACAGCAGTGGGAGACAGCCGTGTCTCTGAACCCCTCGCTTCTGGGTGTCCACCTCAGTCAACAGACAGAGACCTTAAGCACATCTTCAACCCCCGTACTTCGCCCTTGCCAGGGAGATCCAAGCGCAATAGCCAACATGGGCTTTAAACATGTTTTCTGGCAGTTTGGTCTTTTTGTTATATTTACCGAAATATTTTTCTCTATGCCTTCTCACAGTGTCCAAATAATCTTCTCCCTGTCAGTCAAAATCCCAGTGCTGCTCTCAGCTGCATATGCTATAAAAACATGAAATTAACACATCAGGTAAATTTCACACTCCCTTTTCCAGAGCAGATTGACATAACGGAGTCTCACCTTAATCAGGCAGAGCAATGTACTTCTTCCGTCCTGTGGGAATGCACCATCTCCACTCACGTCAGTAAAGTGTTGTAGAGTTTGGGGCTTTGTTTGGTTCATTCTTTTTATAATGATTTCTTTTGGAACTTTGTGCTGCCTGGCAATGCAACCTGGTTTACTCTTCTTCCTTACCCTGAATTTTACTTCAAGGTTATTCAATCTCAGACACTTATTTCCACTAAGGTGAAATATTGTGTTTAGATGTTTACTGTTGTTGTTGCTGTCAGGCGCCATCAAGCTGGTTCTGACTTAACAGTGATGCTTTGTGCACCAGACAGACACCTGCCCGGCCCTGCCCCGTCCTCACCATTCTCATGTTCAAGCCCACTCTGCAGCCCCTGTGTCAGTTCATCTGGTTGAAGGTCCCCCTCCCATTCACTGCTGCGCTACTTTCCCGAGCATGATATCCCTTCCAAGGGCCTGGTTTCTCCTGATTACAGGTCCAACGTACATGGACGAAGTCATGCCATCCTCACCTCTAAGGCAGCCTGTGCTTCTTCCAAGGCAGATTGTTCATTCTCCTTGCAATCTGGTACTCTTGGCGAACACTGTCATTCAAAGGCATAATTCAATTTCTGCTCCAGTCTCCCTTATTCATTGTCCACCTTTCATCCGCATACGAGATGAAACGTACCATGACTTGGGTCATGTCCACCTCAGTCCTCAAAGTGACATCGTGACTCTTTAACCCTTTAAAGAGGTCTAGTGCAGGAAAATGTCCCAGTGCACTACATCATTTGATTTCTTGAGTGCTACTTTCATGAGCATTGATTATGGATTCAAATAAAATGAAATCTGTGACAACTTTAATTTTGATGCATTTATCACGAAGCTACTTCTTGGCCTGGTTACTATAAGGGTTTTGGCTTTCTTTAGATGGAAGTGTGATCCATACTGCAGGCTGCAGTCTCTGATCTTTCTCTGTAAGTCCTTCAAGTTGCCTTCCCTTTCAGCAGGCAAGCAGGGTCATCTGTGCACTGCAGGTTGTTGTGAGCCTTCCTTCAGTCCCAGTGCTGCCTCCTTCTTCGTGTGGTCCAGCTTCTCAGATTACTCGCGCAGTGTGCAAGGGGAGTACACACAGTTCCTGGGGAAATGGAGTTAACACCTAGTGGAAAATTTCCACAAAGTTTTGAAGCCCTTCGTATAGATTAAATAAGTGTAGTGTAAGGATACAACTGTGACATACACCTTTCCTCATTTTCAACCATTTAGCACCCTCTTTTTCTGTTCAAGGGACTGCCTCGTGGTCTGTATATAGGTTCTGCATGAACCTAGTTACCCGAAAAACCCCAAACTCACTGCCAACCCTGATTCGTAGCAAGCCTATAAAGACAGAGCAGAGCTGCCCCGATAGGCTTCCGAGGCTGTGAATCTTCATTGATCGCAGCAGAAAGCCTCCTCTTTCTCCTGTGGAGGGGTGGTAGCTTTCAATTGTGACCTCGCAGTTAGCAGCCCAACGCCTAACTGTACTTCGCCCTTGCCGCCGCACCACCAGGACTGTCGTGAGCACAGTCAGGGTGCTGCCTCGTCTTTGCTTTTCCTACGTTTCTGTCTTGAGCAAGTGCCCCCATAAGACGATAATGAGCCCTTCTCTGTAGAGGCCCCCTCCTCCCTGACCGCCGGAATCCTCCTTTCTCTCTCACGGCCCACCCTCCCAGCTTCACTTGGACTCCTGTGCGGTTGGCTCATAGTTCGTTAAGGGCAGTTCGCTGGTGAGGTGCTACACTTGTGCTGCTGCTGCTTCTGCACACACCCTTGAGTTTCTTACATGTCCAAGCATAGTCGAACAGCTCTTACCCCCGTGCATTCAGCTTTTAAAAGTAGGGTTGTTTAATACACACACACACACACACACACACACACACACACACACATTTTTTTTTGCTCCTTCCTCTCCAAAAGCTGACAGAAACTATTGTATGGTAATCAAAAATTCATTATCTTTGTGACATGCTAAAACAAAATCATTTTTCTTCTGTAATAATGTATGAAGGTGTCAAAACCATCTCTGAAGAGAAGCTCTGCTCTAGGGGGATTTAAAGAGCAATTCCACTTAGTTTAATATTATACAAAAGGAAGATGGGCCTCCTTGAGGACACCTTTGGGCATCAGTTTCATTTACATTATCAGGTAGCTAGCTACTAAAAATGGCTTCTCCATCTAATGTTTCGTTGTTTAGGAAACAACAACTGGCCACTGACTATTACCGGAAGCAAGTCCTCCAACACTGCTTTGCAGCATGGCAGCATTGGCATTGTGCAGAGATCCGGAAAAGAGAGCTGGCCACGACAAAAGAAGAAACCAGAAGAAGAATGGATGAGCTGCTGAGAGCCGCATCCCTAGGGAAGCTCCGTGCAAATGAGCCGGCAGGTCCACGTAGTCTGCGGGAGGAGGCAGCAGCTGCTGTGGACCGGTCCCTAAGAGATGGAGAGGTACTTTGTTTTCCTCTGCTTGATCTTCCCGCTGGTTGAACAAGGGCATTTGAGCTGGGCATTGTTGTCACCTGGGGATGTTAGAGGTTGTCGGATTGCCTGGCCTGGGCTCTGAAAGCTTAGAGCTGCTGCAGGTCAAAACGGTTATCTTTCTCTTGGGTCCTGTTTCTTAAATGAATCGCATTCTGTGACCGCGCGGCGAGTCTGTTGAGACTTGGTAGGGACAGAATAACAGAAAGGGACTTTAAAACAACTGAGGGAAAGGCCCTGCGGGGACAGGTAAGAGAAAGCATTGTTGGCGATCCTGGGGGCGCAGCTTAGTAGATCTTCAGACATTTCCTTTCTTAATGAGCCTGTGACTTCCATTTTATTAATTTTTTTTTAAACATGTCAGTTGTGGCAATTTGGTAGGGGAAAATTACAGGGAAAAAGAATATATTTCCATCTCCCTGGATTGGTCAGTTTTAGTTAGAGAAATCCCAGCGTCATTGGAAGAAGACCTCCCAGTGCAGCCCGTTCAAGATCTCTGTCTGAAGCAGCAAAGGCCAAGACCAGAGGCACCAGAGGCCAAGGCAAGGAGACTATGATCACACAGAGGAGCAGTGTCAAGACTATGAGACTGTGAGGCAGTGCAGTGGGCTGGCTTCCTGGTCCTCAGCCAAGGGACCACGGAGCTGAGAGGCTGAGGACCAGAGAGAGAGTTGACTGCTGGCTGCAGAGAGGTGTTGCTGTGTCCTTACTGTACTGATCCTTACGTGTGGTTACCTGTTAACTCCCATCACAAACCCCCATAATCATAGGGGGGAGAAAACCATCACCCTAAAGAGAACCACCATTAAGATGGTGACCAGAACATGTACACAGGTACAAATGGAATTGACGACACGTGGAATCCCGGTCAGAATAGCGTCTCAGGAACAGAAATGGGAGTAGCAATACCAAGAGGGTAGCGGGGAGGTGGGGAAAGGAAGGGAGCAAAGGGGAAACCGATCTCAATGATCAACACATAACCCACACACACAAACACATCCAGGGGTCGAACAACAGAAACCATGGGAGGAAGGGAGGGAGCAGTCAGTGTAAGATATGAAATAGTTTATAACAGCGGTTGGTATAAGATGTGAAAATAATAATTTATCAAGGGATCACAAGGGGGGAGTAGGGGGGGAGGGGGAAAAGAGGAGCTGATACCAAGGGCTCAAATAGAGAGTAAATGTTTAGAAAATTATTATGGGAACATATATATAAATATGCTTGATTCAATTGATGTAAGGATTGTTGTAAGAGACCTGAGTAAAATGTTTTAAAAAAAAAAAAAGATGGTGAGATATACAGCCAGCTAGGCAGATTTCCTTCTGGAATCTGCAAATGCATTTCTTTCAATAGTTTACGTAGCTTTTAGGTTTTCTTTAGTCAGGTCATTGAGGATGTCTTCTTTCTCTTCTTTTATCTGCTTTTCTTCTTACTGATGTGAGCAATCTGATTTTCTTTCTTTTTTTTTCTTTTTTCATTTTTGCCCAATAGCATGAACATTTTCCATTTCATTAAATATTCTGCAACAATAGTTCTCAACAGAATCCCACCTACTACATCAGAAGTTCTGAGTGTGCGTGAAGACACCTATATTTTTTCAGAAATCCACAAGTGAACTTGATACATGAGGGGGTACCCCCAAAATGGACTTTTCCCCCCCAATGTTATGTATTAAAATTTTTTTTTACACAACAACCTTATCACCTTCAAGGTACTTCTCCATTACACTTAATACATTGGTCAAATCTGCAATTCTGTTCTTGGAAACATTTTTCAACTCATCTGGTTGGATGGCTGACAGCACCTCCCTTGTTTTATCTTCACTTCTTCTATGTCATGGAATTGCTGTCCTTTCATGTCCCTTTTCATTCTTAAAAACAAAAAGAAGTCACACGAAGTGAGGTCAGGTGAGTAAGGTGTGTGGGGCAAGAAAGGTGTGCAGTTTTTTGCCCAAAACTGTCACACTGAGATGTCTGCGTGAGCAGGTGCTTTGTTGTGGTGGCAAAACCAGTCCCCCGTCTGCCACACATCAGGTCTTTTTTTGTCGCACACTGTCAAGCTGTCTTTTCAGAACCTCTAAATCAGTGGTTCTCAAACTTCCTAAAGCCGCAACCCTTTAATACAGTTCCTCATGTGGTGGTGACCCCCCAACCATAAAACTCTTTTCGTTGCTACTTCATAACTGTCATTTTGTTACTGTTATGAATCGGGCAACTCCTGTGAAAGGGTCATTCGACCCCCAAAGGGATCGTGACCCACAGGTTGAGAACTGCTGCTTGAAATAGAAAGCTTGATTAACAGTCTGACCTGGTGGAATGAATTCCAAAATCACTATCCCCCTAACATTAAAAAAAAAAAGAGCATCGTTTTGATCTTTGATTTCACTTTTTGGGGGGCAAGGTGACAATGGCGTCTTCTACTGGCTTGATGTTTGGTTTGGGGTTTGTAAAAATAGCACCATGTCTCATCACCAGTAATGACCTTGGAAAAAGTCTGAGTCACTTCTGGAGCTGATCTTTCAAAGCTCCGCATGTTTCTATGCGACGCTCTTTTTCCTGGTCAGTCAGAACCCGAGGCACAAATTTCACAGCGGCCCTTCTCATTCCCAAATCTTGCATTAAAATTCACTGAATGGACCTCCAAGATAGTCCAGATAACGTCCCCATCTTTTCAATGGTCCATCGTCATCGTTGGTCTTTGAGCACAAGTGCATGTGTTTTGTCAACATTTTCATCCATTCAGGAAGTTGACGGACATCCAGACGGGGTTTGTCATCAGTTAACATTTCAGCTTTTTTAAAATGACAAAACCATTTAACACTTGAGTTTTTCCCATTGCGCTCCCCTTGTAAGCTATGTTCAACATCACAGGAGTTTCTGTGGCATTTTTCCTGAGCAGGAAACAGCTACACGCTATTCTCTTAATTTGGCCATCACAAAAAAACAACATACGAGCAAAACTGCTTTTAAGAAAAAATTCACTGAGACCAGAGAGAACTTTCCCAGGCTATGCCACTGGGTGCACTAACTCAGAGCGAGTTGCTGGATGCTCACCTAGCAGGAAAAATGTGTGCTGTGAAAGTTCCACCCTGTGGAACTTTTTTCCATTTTTAGGGGGGTGCCCCCTCATATCACCTGGTTGAGGATTGCCATTCTGTGCCATCATTTGATAAGGGTTGCATGATATTCTTTCTTGAACCACAAGCTACAAGCTACTTCAAAAAAACTCGTTACTCATTCATTCCTACTCATAGCAACCCAATAGGACAGAATTGAGCTGACCCTGTGGCTTTCCAGCACTGCAAATCTTTACAGGAGCTACTTTAACTCCATCTCTGTTGCTGAACATGTAAGTTATTTCCAGTGTCATTGTCGTGCACAGTACTTCAGTGAGCATCCTGGTGAAAACAGCTTGGAGGCCACATCTGACAGCCTCTGGCAACATGAGGGAGAAAGAGAACAGAAGTCCCACCCTCCATCCTCCTTGACCCTCTTCTGGCAGTAGCCGTTCCTGCTGGGTTTGGTAATCGTTGCAGTGACTACACAGAACTCCCTCCAGTACGTACTCACAATTAAGGGGATTTCTTAGGGAAGTTAACATGTTACCACAAGTCAGCATCAGGAACATTAAACATAGTCATTGGTCCAGAGCAACATGTCTCCTCAGCCAGAAGCCAAGTCTCTCTCTGATCCTTAGGCTCTCCGCCACCTGGTCTCTTGGGCTCTGGTCTCCATGGACCAGGAATCCTGCCCACGGCTCTGCCTCACAGTCTCATGTCTCCAGCCTGCTCCTCTGTTCTCATGGTCCCTTGGCCTTGGCCTCTGGCCTCAGCCTGGCACCTTTGCTGTGTGCTGCAGCCTCTGGTGCCTCAGGTCTTGGCCTCCACCACTTCAGACAGAGCTCTTGAACATGTGCACTCTTCTTACGTGATCATCCTGGGAATTCGTTCTGTTCTTGCTTTTGAGATGGCACACCCTTCTAGCCAGGAGAGTGGCCACTAAACCTGATCAGTCCTCTCTCTCTCTCTCTCTCTCTCTCTCTCTCTCGGTGCGCCACATGCTCTATTTGCATAGTCCCACCCAGTCATTTGGTGGGAGTTACAGAGACGTGGATAGAGCAGTCACCTGGAGAAATTCCACTTCACCACAAACCTTGTACCTAAATCTTTACACATCCTTTGCTTTACTTAACGCCAAATACCTAAAGCATAAAATGCATAAACACAAACATTTTAAAGACAATCACCAAATCGCCATTACAGAAAGTTTGTACCAAACCAGTGCCTGCTTTCCTGTATGGCAGCACCTTTATTTTAATTTTTACCTTTACCAAGTTGACAGGTAAAATTTTTCATGGTTTCATTACTTCAATATTTGCCTTTCTTTGATTGCCTTGAGGCTAGCCTGTTTTTCATATTAGTCATTTAAAAAGATAACACTTAATAGATAGAGACTAGTAGAGCCCCTGAGACGATGCTCATTCGACACCTGTCGAACTTGGAACTGAACCTACCGCTGAGAGATGTATAAAGGAAAACACCCATGATGAATGGACTTCTTGGGACGATACACCGCAGAAGACCAAAAGGGCAGCATTTACCCCAAAGCAAAATTCAGAAGGCAGGAAGGGGCGGGAAAGAAGAGTCATGGAAATAGGGGACTCAGGGAGGTGTAGTGGGAGGAGTGCAGTGAGATTGTGGGTTTTGCAAACTAATGTCGTGCAACAAAATGTGTATAAATTATCAAGTGCAAAACGGGTGTGTTCTGTAAATGTTCACGAGAAAATGTGCATGTCAATGATAGTAGACACCGTTGTAGATACATAGTGACTTTTCTCTTCATGTCCTTTGCCAGTTTTTTCTCTTAGATTATCCTTTCCTTATTTATTTTGAGTTGGAATCTACTCCATCACTGTGAAGGTTTTGTTTTGTTTTTTGGCATTGGTGGTTTTATCTTACATAGGTCAAAATTTCTTCCCCATTTGTCATTTGTCTTCTTGGTGTATTTGTGGTGTCTCATATTATACACAGTTATTAATTTTTTAAGAAGCCACAATTTAGGTTCATAGTAGCACTGTGTTTAGAACACCCTTTGGAGAAGCTCAGTCCCCACTCCACTCTCCCTCCCTTTCCCCTACATCATACTGTTAAATACTTAACTCAGACTTATAATTAAGTTGGGCACTGGAGGGTCCCAGCCTTGCTTTTTACCCTGATTACTGCTAGCAAGATAGGCTGATTTTAATTTAAGTTTAGTCTCTCAGCAAATGAGGATCATGAGGGTGCTTATTGGGACTTATATAATATTTTTGGTCCTTCCTCGAGGCAATTTATCAAGCTTTATGTCAGTTAGATAAATTTGTCTCCATTAAAGCCCAGGAGAATCTTCTATCTTAAGAAATAGCTGTGTGGAACATTTTAGCTTTATAAAATTCCACTGTTGTTATCTTTAAAGGAAAAAAAGTCAGCAGAAAATACTTTTCACCTATGCGAAAAAACAAAACCCAACCCCCTTGTACAGTTCAATGTAAAGGAAAAAAGCCTGCAAATTCGAGGTTGAGAACAAAAGGCGTTATCAAGGAAGGACGATTATGAGAGAAACAAAGCAAAGACAAAGTAAGGGCGGTAACCGACTCTGTCGGTAGGTCACTAGATACACTTTAATCTTTTCTAGCATAGAGTATACAACATGAACAAATGAAAACATGCAATCTTTATTCAGATGCTAATTAATTATATATTCATAGGAGCGCATGTACCAGGAGCACACACATTATACCTTGATTTTTTTCAAAATGATCAGTTAGCTAATAGGTGATTTTCTCTAATTAAGCCAAGACTGTTCAGTCTTGTTCTATTATGTACAATCTGTACCCTTAACCTTTTCTTTTATTCACTTATTTGAACCTCAAAAAGTTCGAGCGATCCAAAAGAAAATCTTGTTGCTGTACTCAAAGCTTTTACTTAGTCTTGCTGAGGTAATAACGTATCATTACCACAAAGTTTTAAAGAGCCTAAAACATATGCCCTGTTTGATGCTAAATTACATAAGCAGGTGTTCTCTGGAATAAATGTCCATTGACATTTCAGAAATAAAAGGTTATAAAAAGCCTTTGTGTAGAGTTTCCATATATCATATCCTTTGGCTTTAACTGAGCCTTCAGAAAGCATTTCCATTATCACAAAAATATTTTTAAATACCCAAATATTCACCCTGTTGCAACTATTCAGAGAGAGCTAGAAGCTTCTAATATATTAGGTAATGCACAGGTTTTTTTCCCAGATGACCCTGCGGCAGGCAGAATCAAAGCTGGTCAGACCTTAGACCATGAAATCAAATCTTCTGGAAGAGCCATTTTCACTCGGGCATTCTTTTGTCCAGGATACACTTTCTGAGTAAGAATTCTGTTTCCTTCCCCTGACTCTAGAATTTGTAATTAACTGTGGTTCTTTAGTTTATTAGTTGAGATTTATGTGCTAAAGCTTTGAAAACCGTTAAGCAAGACGTTCGTGCAAAAATGTTGTTGTGTGGTGCTATCAAGCCGATACCTGCTCCTCGACACCCTCTGGACAGCAGAAAACAGCGCCGCTGCCCAGTCCTGCACCGGCCTCCCCGCTGTTGTTAGGTTTGAGCCCGCTGCTGGAGCCACTGTGTCCACCCATCTCGTTGAGGGTGTCCCTCTTTTTCACTGGCCCTCGACTTTACCCACCAGTCTAGGGACTGGTCTCTCCTGCCAACAGAGCCAAAGTATGTCCGCTGAGGTCTTTAAGGAGCAGTCGGCAGTCCTTCTCCCAAGACAGATTTGTGTTTTCCTGGCAGTCCAAGGGAAGTTGGAGATTCTCCCCCAGCACCAGAATTCAAATGCATCCATTCTTCTCCGCTCTTCCTTATTCAGGTCTACCTTTCTCATGCATATGAGGCCATTGAAATTTCTGTGAATTGGTCTTTTCAACACTTCAAAGAGGTCTTTTTTCAGCAGATGGACTCAATATAATATAAAAATATTATTAGGTAATACTACTCGGATATAATACTAATATTTACTCAGTGATCCTGGGCTTGCACATATCGCTCACAAATAACTCAGTATAGCTGTTGACTATAAAGTAGGCTTCAATCATGGAGTAAATAAACCCCCAGTAATAAATACACCTTAATTGTCTAATGGCACAAGAGGCATTGAAAGAGCATCACTATTACTGATTTGTTAAGGTATTCCTTAGTTTTCAAAACTCAGCCACAAGATCCAGGCATGTTAAAATTTCAGTATTCTAGCTCTGGAGTCAGAACCCTGGTGGCATAGTGGCTTACGAGTTGGGTTGCTAACCACCAGGTCAGCAGTTCGAAACCACCAGTCGCTCTGAGGGAGCACGATGGGTTTGGGGGCTGTCTCGCCGCCACAGACACCTGGCCAGGCAATGCTACGCTCCCAGGGGGGTGTGCTGAGTCGGAGTCGACTTGAGGGCACTGAGTTCAGAAGGATTTGTTGTGTTTTGTTTCTTTTGATTAGTTGGGGTTGTGTTTCGCTGGAGAGTGATTCCGCTGCCGTCACAAATGAATTCTCCAAATTAGAGATGCTTCGGGGTACATTTTCCTTATTTCAGACATCCTAATCCAGGAGGGGGAGAGAGGTGAGGCTTTCGGCTCCGGGAAAGAGTTAACGGTCCTGGGACCCCGTCAGGGCAGTTCGACGCTGTCCGATAGGGTCACTGTGAGTTGGAATCCACTCGGAGGCACTAGGGGTTTGGTTCTTGCATCCATAAGGATGCTTCATCGAGGTGTCGCCGCCCTCCCACCCAGCCTCTGCCGTGATCGGCAGTGCAGCTTCTTCCGAGTGGCTCGCAAAGCTAAGATCAGGGGCCTGGGAGGCACCGGGCCAGGAGCACACGGTGACCTCGCGTAGGGCGCGGGCCAGTGGTGCCACCGAGAAGAACAGTGTTACCTGGACAAAGGTCGGGTCTCATTAGCATTGGACCGTCACAAAGCTGAGCTGGGGAACATGTGTCTTCTCTCTCAGGTGCCTGTACTCAAACAGCCCGCCTTGTGCGAAAAGCCCCCTGTGGAGGACAAGGATCGCATGGCCGGCCCTCCTCCAGGAAGACCTACAGAGAGCACCTTGCAAGTTCCCTTCCAGAACACCCCTGGAAACACACCCGACAAGACACAGCCCAAGACCGTGGCCGCAGAGCCCTCCCCACAGCCTGGCAGGAGCCCGCAGCTCGGAACCACCGGCCAGAAAGCAGAGCCCATGTGCATGGGCCATTTCCACCACCGCCACGTCTTCCAGCAACAGCTAATTGAGAAGCAAAAGAAGAAGCTCCAGGAACAGCAGACAATCATCCTCCAGCTGCAGGAAAGCCAGCGGCTGGCAGAGGCCCGGTGGGCAGCAGAGCGTGCCGCCGCACCCACGGTGGTGCAGGGCCGCATGCTGGCGAGTCCCAGAGAGGAGAAGGAACCAAAACGGAGGAGCCCCATGCTGCTTAGGTATGTGCATTGTCTCAGAGCGCAATTTGGACTGGATATTTGGGGTGACCACTGTGGTGCCAGCAGTCCCAGATGCGCGATCTTTCCTTGTCTCTACTCTTATTTGACACCCCGGAAGCAAAGAAGCCCTGGACACTGGTGATGGATCTGTGGCACACAAAAATAGGTCCTGAAGGCAAGTGGCTGCTGGCGAAGGTGTAGCTGTGCAGTTAGCATCTGCATTCGAGCTGTGTCCACTATACTAGTAAGGAAACAAAAAGGGCCCCTTGCTCTAACTGGGTTTCTGGGTCTCTGCTTATGTTAGGGGCTGAAAAGCCAGGTCAGTCAGCATCAGGTCCACGTGGGGCCGGACACCCCTGTGCTTAAATGTCTGGTTGGTTGGGGTAAAACTAAATAACTCTGGCTGTTTTGATCGCGGCGTAAGATTCTAAATTTCTCAAAAGCCATTTAGAAACAGCCTCAAATAAGCTTGTTTGCCACAAACTTAGTACACGTGATAAATCACCGTGATGGCGTCAGGGTGCTTGACCCGTGTTGCAGCCTCAGACCAGTTACTCAGCCTTGCCCCGCCCCATTTCACCCATTTATCCTGTGGGTGTAATGATAAGCAGATGTCTCCAAGCTGGGACTCATTAAGATTTATAAAATTCTTGGGGATCATCAGGTGCAAGGATTTGAAGGAAGCTGATGATTGATCGGAATTCTTTTTCTTTCCCCTCAGTTCACCTGCTGCTTCCCCTGGGTCTGAGGGCAGTAGGCGTGACTCTGGCAATTCTCTTTCTGGACGCCGACGGAACCCGAGGCAGCCGGCGGCACCCCATCCCATACTGAAAGGTAGGGCTGTCTTGCGGGTAGCGATGGTGGTGGTCTTCTCTCTTCCTCCAGTACAGGAGGCTGGCATCGAATCTTTGCAACTCGAAGGTTCTGAGAGTCAATCCATGCATCTCAAAGTGTCTGTAATATACCACTGTAATATACCTAAGCGACTGCTTAGGAGCAGAGAATGATAACGGCACGTTTTCCTCAGTGCATAGGTCCTGGCCCTTGGGGATTGTTTGTGTAGGGGAGCCCGATTTCCACACAGCTTGTGTTGTGAGGAGCAGTGCGCCTTCCAAGAGTGATCCACCGGGTCGAGCCTGAGGCCAGCGGACCCATAAGGAGTGGAATGCACCAGAAAGCACCATTACTTCTTGCTGCTTCTCTGCCAACTTCTTCGGCCTTCTCAGGGACGGCCCACATACAGCAGTTGCTAAAAAGGTGTATCATAGCTCTGTAGTTTGGGGATTTGGATCGTACAGTACAAAAGAAGGGACCATTATACAAATGAGAAAAACGTTGTGGCCCTGCTAAAGATATGTGTTGATACAGATCACCTGTCATTTGCTAACGTTAATATATTTCAATATTAACGTATTTATCAGTTTACAGCCATCCAAATGAAGAAATCATATCATCTTATAATGAGTTGTGCCTCTATGGCAGACATTTATTAAGGAAATCTAAAAACCAGACGTTTTTCACTCGATAGCACTTTGGATGCAAAGAGAAAACCATACTAGAGCAAGAATAATACTCTTGAGAGTAGAAGCAGTTTTCAAAACCCACCTTATCAGCCTGTTAAATGTTCTTAAATCAGTACTTAGTCACTTGGTGTGTATATGACTGCCTATGTTAGTAGGCACTTTGAAGAACTAGATTGTGGTTTATAAATCTGTAGCAAGATTGTGGCAAGATTGTTGCCCCAACAGGAAGTGATGTCATCTCAAGGACACTGGATCTAGGCCAGGTCCTACTAGACTCTAGAGGGGCAGTCTGCATTGGCTGTCTTCCAGGACCGCAGTCCAGGCCACCTTTGCCCATCCAAGGCTGATCAGGAAATGTAATAATATGAAAAAAAATGTTTTTTAAATCAAAAATAAAATAAATACTCACACACACACACACACACACACACACACACACACAATTTGATTCAAACCCTCACACCCACCCTACTCACTGCCATGGGGCTGACTGACTCACCGTGAACCCACACAGAGTTTCCAAGACTGTAAATCTTTACAGAAGCAGATATAGCACCATCTTTCTCTGTTGCAGCAGCTAGTGGGTTTGAACCCCTAACCTTGCAGTTAGCAGTTAGTCCCATCCTTACCCAGCAGAGCTACTTCGATGAAAGAGTCGGCCGATTTTAGCATCTCCGAGGACTTTTCACGTAGCCTTTAATGATTGGCTTCAGAAAACAGCGAAAGGGCCTGTTTCCAGAGCCTTTGCCGCCCAGTGAGCTTCCCTGTTGACCCCAGATCTCTTCTCCCTTCTGAAAGACATCGCACTCCGGCCACCTCTGGCACCACCACTACTCTTTGTTGCAAAGGGTGCACTTAGATCCATAAGAAAACATAGTCTGGTGAGTTTTCTTATTAATTCTAAAAATTGGAACTTAAATCTTCTTTGCTTTGACATGGCACGGGGAACTGAAAGTAACTACTGTCTGCCTCAGGGGAGCAGAACTCTGATTGCTCCCACCGGTGGCCCCTCCTGAGAAAGCCCCGAGTGATTAGAGTCATGCTATCAGACCATCTTGCACATGTGCTTCTTTTGGATGGATATTCAGCAGACTGTCAAGAACACAAGTCTGACACTCACATTCATTCAGATGCCAGTACTCCAAGTGCCTGGTACAGTTCCATTTCCTGCCCATCTGCATAGCCTGCCCTGAAAGCAAGATTAAAACGTATTCATCGTGACCCCAAACTTAAGTTTGTTTGTTGTTGTTGGTCCCTATGCAGACATGTACACAGACTTAAAACTTAGCAGACTCACTTAATGGGGTCTGAGGAACAATTCTAGCCTCAAGGTATTTGATAGCTATAATTAAAGTTTGCTACACTCATCAAATTAAAATTCTGCTTTCTCTGGGTTTCAGGTACTAAAAGACTATCATCAAGGTGTATCTTATTTAGAGCAGTCAATAGTTATCCAGGTAGAAATACAACCTGCAAGTGGTTCAGCACAGCTGAGGCTGGGATGGGGGGATTTTTAACTTGAGAATGTATTTAAATGTCAATAGATCTACTGTCTGGGTTTGTGAACCATCAACTTGCAAGAAAGCCCGGATGCTGACGAGACTACAGGTTACTGTACAATGAAACCCGTGTGCAGGCTCCTCGCGTGGCTGAGATCAGAACTCTGTTAATATTTTCTAGCCATGGAAGAGAGAGCGATTCAGCGAGCTGAACGTAGGTGGATCTTGGCAGAGAAGAAGAGAACACAAGAAGAGGAGAAACTGGTAATAAATACAGAATGCTCACTGAGGCAAGAAAAGGGGCTTGCCTAGGTCGTGATTTCAAATGACCTCTTTACTGGTGTCAGCCTCTTGTGACAGTAGAACCGAGCCACCTTCGGACAACAGCCCTTTTCCTACTGGCCTGAACTTGATGGCAATTTTAGGAATGTGAGGAGGGGAGCCATCAGTGCCATTAGTGTGCGGGAAGAAAATAGTACAAAAATTGATTAGAGCTAACAAATCGGGAGCTTTACCCATAATCAAGCCCCGGGTGTTTTAGGAGACGTCCACCCTGCTGAGCTTGCAAGGGCACAGCAGTCGTTCATTCTGCAAGGAGGGAGCCTTATTTTCCCAAGTTTTGACCCAGACTGCTAGAGTAAATGGTTTAGTAACAAGACAAAACAAACAGTGGCTTTCTGGTGAAAGGAAAGAAAACTTCGTTCTACCTTTCTCTCTCTCTCATGTCATCATTCAACGTGAGTTCAAAATAATCATTTTATGATGACAATTGTCTTATTTATCTTCGGTCCGACTTCCAAAATAGAAAGTGATTCCTCTGGAGAAACTCGTACATTTTATGAATGACCACACGCTCAGGGAGGTCACCCACCTTTGCCACTAGGTGCAGATTCCTCCCTGAGTCAGTCAGGGCGGCCAGCGCGAGGCAGGCATGCTGTTGACGAGCTTGCGTCCTTACCCATGCTAATCTTCATCAGGCCCGGTTCAAGGCCCAAGAGGAGGAGCGTCAGAAGCGGGAGGCAGAGGAAAAGGAGGCTCAGCTGGAGAGAAAGCGTGAAGAAAAGAGGCTGAAGGAAATGGTGAGTCGCGTCTGCTTGGTCAGACAGCTCAGGCCTGCGGTCTGCGGCTCTCTGGTCCTGGGCCCCTGGCCCGCCCCAGGACTTGCGTCTGGGACACTCACTCTTCTCAGCTCTGCTGCCTCTTCAGATCTGTAGTCTGTCTGCTAAACGGGCCTTTCCTGCTCTGCCCCAGCTTCCTCCTCACCCAAGGCTGTTGGGTCCCACCCTGGGGACGCCCATAACGTTCTCTTTCCCTCAAAGCGTTACCAGTGCTCCTTATCACACATGCCATTTGTGTGCGTTTTATTCACTCCTGACACCCAATTAAACTGCAGTATTCACAAGAGCAAAGGGACCAATGTGTGGTTACTTATGACTGTATTGTCTAGCAGTGTGTCAAGCACATACTAACCCACACCCACTGCCATCAAGTGAATTCCGACTCATAGCTGCTCATATAGAGCTTCTCAGACCGTGAATCTTTGGAACAGAAAGCCTCGTGTTTCTCCCATAGAGCAGCTGGTGGGCATGAACTGCTGACCTTGCAATTAGGAGCCCATGCCTAACCCACAGCACCACTGGGACTCCTTTAGCAGGTACAGAGATGTAGCCAACGTGTTGAATAAGTGAAAGTGAATAGCTAAGCAAGTGGGAGAAACTGCGGAGGAGCAATAGAGAGACAGAGCGCTTATATTCCAGGCTGCGAAACCCTTCTTGAGAAGATAGGGCCGAATATACACGCCTGTCCGAGACGACATGAGGCAGCTTCCAAAAGTTCATGGAGAATGGAATGAAGAGATCATTTTTCCACAGCCTTTTTAGAGGTCCCCTCAAGTAGCACGACATAGGCTGTCGACAAAGGTCCTAAGACATCATGAGAATCAAACAAAGCAAAATCCATGAATGTTTTGGAGGAACTAGATGCTCATAGAAAATCTTCCTTTAACATTATGCCGGGCATGATGACTCTCCAGGAGAGAGGCAGTGTGTTCTGAGCTCTCACTGTGTGTGCTCACAGGACCTTTTCTTAACGGAGCTCCAAGTAGCAACTCCTGGAATAATGCGGGACTTACCTACGATCAACCAGTGAGGCAGTTTTTTAAAGATATGCCGGAAAAAAATGTTTCAGAGTAATATTTGTTCATTGCAGAGCGGTTGAGAAATACACGCCGCCCCCCCCCCCGAAAAGTTGGGGGGGAAATCTGAGTTCAATACTAAGAAGTAACTACTGTTAATATTCGAGGATATCTGTTTCTGGTCTTTTTCTCTGTGCATCTTTCTCTCCTTCCTAATAGGTAAGTAGATACTTTGTGTGGCTCTGGGTGTATAATAGAGCCCTAGTGGTGCCATGACTCAGATTGATACCAAAAGGTCAGTGGTTCAAACCCACCAGATAGTCTGCTCTGTGAGATAATGATGTGGCAGTGTGTTCCCTTAAAGATTTACAGCCTTGGGACCCCATGAGGCAGTTCTACCCTGTCCTATTAGGTCACTGTGAGTCAGAATGCACTATGTGGCAGTGGGTTTGGGGGTAGGTGGACATTGTTCTTAAAGGAGCCCTGCTGGCATCGTGAATTAAGTATTTGGCTGCCAAGCACAAGCTTAGCAGTTCAAACCCACCAGGCGCTCTGAAAGAGATGAAGCTGTCAGCTCCTGTAAAGACTGACAGTCTTAGAAATCCTGTGGAGCAGCTCTGCTCTGTCCTGTCGGGTTGCTGTGAGTTGGGATGGGCCTGATGGCAGTGGATTTAGACCACTCTTAAGCTGCTTTTTGTCACTTAGTGTTCTATCGGGATTATTTTTACTTGTCATTCAAAATTCTTCTGAACACTGTGTTTGTAAAAGGCCTTTATTAAAAAAAAGTTTTTTATTTTGGAATACTTTAGATGTGCAGAAAACTTGCATATAGAGAGCGTTCCTGTAGGCCCCTTACTCATTTTCGATTTCCCCTCAATGCCATGATAAATGTGCTCAAACTGGGGAACCAGCATGTCAGCGTCAGGCTTTATTGGGATTTTCGTGGTTTTCCCAGAAATGCCCAGGATCCGTTTCAGCTGCATCTTTGCATGTGATAGCTTTGGCTCCTTCTTGTCCTCTGGTCTGTGACTGCCTCTCAGAATGCTCTTGCTTGTCATGACCTTGACAGTTCTTCGTTCCAGTCGGGCATTTTCTAGAATATCCTCAGCCTGTGGTTGCTTGATGTTTTTTTGATGACTCTGCAGAGGTTATGGGGCTTTGGGGGGGAAATGCCATGGAGGTGAAATTCCTTTCTGATCCCATCACCTCAGGGGGACACGATAGCCCGGTGACTTGGCGCTGTGATCACTGGCATCTTCATCTTAATGCCTCAGCCAGTGATCGACAGGTTTCTCTCTGCTCTCACATGGCTATTTTCCCCTTTTCATACTCCATTCCTTGGAAATGATTTGTTCACCCCGTCTACCCTGAAGGTAAGGAGAAGGGGAGAGTAGGTTTCCTCTGTGTATTTATGTATTGATTCATGTATACTCATTTTATACTTTATTTTATTGGGGGCTCTTACAGCTCTTCTAACAATCCATTCATCAATTGTATCAAGCACATTTGTACATATGTTGCCATCATCGTTTCCAAAACATTTTCTTTCTACTTGAGCCCTTGGGATCAGCGCCTCATTTTATACTTTTGGGTTATGATATTATCTTATTATCTATTTTGTTGCTATAACTGCTCAGTGCTAGCCATTGGTGGGTCTTCAGGGTTGGCCCCTGTGCCCCTGCAACATGCCCATTCATTTTGTTTTCCAGTACTTAACTCTCGGACACTACAAGCTGCTCCAGGCTCGGCTTGTGTTTTCACTGCCCCACACCGAGAATCAACTAGGTCTCCAAGACACCCAGTTCTAAATGGCATTTACAAAGCAAATTGTGGACACTGAGGAGGGTACTCATTGTGACTCGGGTGTCATTGATTCAAACCCACAGCAGACTGGGTATGATGCATATGAGTACTAGTTAAGCCATGTATTTATAGCTCTGTATAATTGTTATATTTATCCAACTGTTAAGCTAAACAGGAATTCTTACAGCAGTCTCTGAATCTAAGCCAGCAACAAAGGGCTCCGTTTACTTTTCCTTCTTGCTTATGCCTCTCTCTGACCATGTGAACCCTGCCTTCTACCATGGACCATCCACATACTGTTTGTTCAGCTGCACTGTACGTGTAAGAGCCATAGCCCCATGAGAAACAAGTTTACAAAGCAGAGTGCAGTGTTATGCACAGGTCATTTTGTCTTCCACCTCACCTGACTTACGACTACCTAGCTGTTGCTATCAAACTGATTCCAATTCACAGAGTAGAACTGCCCCATAGGGTTTACAAGACTGTAATCTGTATGGTTAATAGATGGTCCCATCTTTCTACTGGAGCCGCTAGTGGATTCAAAAGGTAACCTTTTAGTTAACAGCCACGGACTTAACCATTATGCCACCACTTCCCTTAACTTACAGTGACCAATGAAAATGGAATTTTCCAGTTACATAGAATGGCTGCTAGTTTTGTCTACTTCTTTGGAGTAAAATTATGCCAATCACTTGTAAAAGAGTTAGATTCCCTTGTCATTGTCTACATTCCATACTGGAATCACTGACATCCTGGTTTCCTTTTTTGTTTGCCTAAGTCAAAATTCACTCTTGGAGGAGTAGGGTTCTTTGGGCTTTAGCAAGTGCATAGAGCTGGGTAAGCATCACCCAACAGCATACCAAACAGCTTCTTCACCCTAAGTTCTTCTGTACATTGCTCTAACGACCATTGATCTGGTTTTTATCCTGATATTCCTGGTGGTACAGTGGGCTACACATTGAGCTGCTAACCACAGGGTCAGCAGTTCGAACCCACCAGCTGCTCTAAAGGAGAAAGATGAGACTGTGTACTCCATAAAGGTTGAAAGTCCCGGAAACTCGCAGGGGCACTTCTACTCTGTCCAATGGGGTTGCTAGACTCCGAATGAACTCAGTGGCAGTGCGTTTGGTCATGGGAGGGAACTCGTCAACTCTTCCACTTTGGATGGACTCATGGTGTTGCATGAATCAAAAGCTCGTTTATTTTTATTTCCAACTAGTCTTCCATCAGATTATGCTAGAGTTGTTTATCTCTTCCTGTGCAGAAATTACTTCTAGTTTTTACTGATCATGACTAAAGCTGCTGTAGACATCTATTTCTGGGTTTTTGTTTGAACATACATTTCAGTTCACTTGAACTACCAGGAGTGCGATTGCTGGGCAGGGTGGTACTTCTGTGTTTGACGCTATAAATAACCGTTTAACTCTCTTCTTGCAAAAGGCTGCACCATTTTGCACTCCCACCAGCAAAGAATGAGAGTTCCGATTGCTCTGCATGCTCACCAGCATTTATTATTTCGGTGGGCTTTTAAAACGTGTTTAGTCATTCAACTAGGCATGGTACCGTCTATTTGAATTTCTCATGGTAGTGTACATTTGTATTTCCATGGTGACAAATTATACTGGAAAATCTCTTCATATTTATTTTCTCTATATCTATCTTCTATCTTAAAGCGCCTCTTCAGATCTTTTGCCCATTTTTTTACTTGTTTGTTGTCTCACTCTTGAGTTTTGAGAGACCTTTATATATCCTGAATCAAGCCCTTTATAAGATATATGATTTGAAAATATTTTGTACTAGTCTGTGGCCTGGCCTTTAATTCACATAACATTGTTTTTCATAGAGTAAAAATGTTTAATTTTGATACAGCACAATTAATCGACCCCCCCCCACCTGTGGATTATGTATCTGATATTGTATAAGAGGGCTTCAAAAAGCTTGTGGGAGAATTCCATTACTTCCCAATTCCAATTTTCCACAAACTTTTTATAGATCCCTTGTATGTAAAAATGAATCACCAAATCCAAGGTCACTCAGATATTTTCTTATGTTTTTCTCTTAAAAATTGATGATTTTATATTTAGGTCTATTGTCCATTTTGATAAGTTTTATATAAATTGCAAAGTATGTGTCAAATTTTTT